GAGCTCAAGGAAATGTTCTTCTCGATCTGGGTCAGACAACACCCAGCGTAGGATGGCCTCCAGGGCCAGATCATCTTTGAAGATGGCCAGGTCATCGCTGGCAAGAAGGCCTGCCACCCTATCTTTGGAAAGACACAGGAAATCTTCCTGGGCTAAAACAGCAGAGAAATGTGTGAGTGCCACCTGCCGTGCTGAATTGTACAGCTGAGTACAGCCCAGCTGCCATGCATAGGCCATCATTCCTAAGCAGTTACTGAGGTGCAGCTCACGCTCGAGGAACTTGCAGCACAGCAGTCTGGGTCTCTCCAGCTGTAAAAAGTCTGCAGTCTCCAGAATACCAAGAACATTGTCTCTGTTCAAAGCCAGTCTGTGAGTCTTGCTGTATTCCATTAAGACCTTGAAGTGCTGCAGATCCACCCCTTTGATCTCAACCTGTTTTCTGTTGCTCTCCACACCACAGCCAAAAAACAGAGCCCTGAAGTAAGGACTTTGGAGGGCCAGATGGTGTCGGCTGACATAAAAGCTCTCTCCTTTGACCTGTAGGGTAGTATCAGGCATTGGGTAAGGCTCTGAGGCTTCAGAAAGGAGAGCAGATTCATCCTCCTCTGTTTTGTTCTCAGGTTTAGGAAGGAAGACTCTACAGCTATGGGACTCCTGCTCAGGGTTAGCTCTGAAAGCCATGTCAGCCTACCAAACCTATTTGTGTCTCACTTCAAAACACAACCCAGCAAGTGGTTGTAAGTGCAAGTTTATAAATAGAATCTGTCCTGACTGATCCGGAAGAGCATAGGTGCTACTACACCCACTGGAGTAGTCCAGGGTATACGCAGTTATACAGCCTGATGTACCCACTTATTTTCAAATAGCAATGCATTTATGTTAAATATTGTTATGTTACGTATTCTTTTATTGAATTATTTGAATGGTAAATTCCAATCATCATATAATAAATATATAAATATAATGAGTAACAATGAAATCTTTATTTCACATTTACAAGTTTATCAACTTTTCCGCTTATTTGATGAGTTTGATTTTTATTTTTAAATCTATGCTTAAATATGAACAAAGATGTCAAATTCTCATCTAAAATGTTTTATTTAAATAAATGTTTAATCTATAATGTTTGCCTCATCTGTATTTTATATTCATGCAGGCTGCAAGTGTGACCAGTAATACAGACAAACTGCTCCTGATTAAGTTATGTTCATTTTAATAGCGGCCCACACTAAATGCTGCAAATAAGCTATTGAAAGAGCTGTTAAAAGAAACGACTGACTTGCTAAGTGTGAGAATAGGTGTCATCCATGTGGATGGACTCAGAATCAACCAATGGTTCACTCATTATCTGTAATTGTCTCTCTCTCTAGTCTATGGACCAGCATTCAGTTATTTCATAATCCGTCCTCCCTGAGATCAAATAGCAGAATCACTCTCATTTTATCTGGATTTATAGTTATACATATGCATATATATAAATATATAAATGTTTGTATATCTGGAGCGTGCAACAAAAGTAATTTCCCTCTGGGATTATTAAAGTATGTCTGATTCTGATTGAGTAAATTCTACAAATTAATTCTATACTACAAATTATTAAATTAATCTTACATGTCATTTTTTTTTGGGAGGCATTTAAAAGAGAGGGCCCACTACACTGCTGACTACACCTGCATAATAATTTTAAAAACCAAAAAAATAGGGGTATTTTCACATTAATACTTAAAAGTCTATTTTAATAATGTCTGAATGTATTGTCACATTTTTTAACTGATTTTAAAATATAGATTTTGTACTTTTTTTTTAAGGGATTAAATTATTTTTGCTTTGTTTTTTTTTAAGGGATTAAATTATTTTTGCTTTGTAATATATATGTATAAATGTATCTAGCAAAATGTGTGTAACTTGAAAATCGTGCAAATCTGCTAACGTCATCAAATGACGACGAGCGATTTGATTGGTCCTACGTCCCTGCAGTCAACATTTAACTTCCGTGTCACGTAGCTAACATGGCGGTAAATTCATTGCGCATTTTCTTTCATTCAAACATTTACTTTAACCTTTTAATACTAAAAATCGGTCTGGTTGTGTGTTAATCTGTTGGTGTGTTGAAATGAAGAACGGTTATTCCAATGTAATGATGCGGTTTTATTAGCTACGTTTTTGATAACCTTTGTTAGCAAGCTAAGCCCATGCTAATGGTGTTGAGAGCGTTCTGTGATTAAAAAACATTGAACTAACTTTGGTTTCTGCAGGACAAAGAAAAGAAGAAAAAGGAGAGCATCTTTGACTTGTCTAAATACATCGACAAGACGATTCGTGTGAAGTTCCAAGGGGGGAGAGAAGGTAGGTGAATTTATTTCACCTAATTACACCTTAAACCAGTCAGGTAATACACTAACTGCTGCACATGTGTTTATTTCTCAGCCAGTGGGGTTCTGAAAGGGTTTGACCCTTTGCTAAACCTGGTGCTGGACGGCACCATCGAGTATATGCGAGGTAAGCAAATGTTCAAAGCTGCAACTATCTCAACCCAACATAAATCAACTATTGATCTGGGTGCAACACAAAAAAGGGTCACTGATTCGCAGATAACAAGAAGTTTAGACTTGCAATTAAAAAAAGTTTTTATCTGACTCTAAAGTAGTATAAAACTCACTTGAGGTGCAAATAAAAAGCAAGGCAAAATATTTATATTGGACATTTGAAAATGAAATCCTACTACCAGTCATTAAAAGGGCTTTTGACATGCTTTTATAATTTCCTATATATGCGTGTAAATAAAATAAAAAAAATAACACTGATAAAATACTATTGAAATAAATGTCCTGCTGTTGAAACTAGCAGTTGTCATCACAATTGTTCAAAGGCTCTGTTTATTAGGTTGTTGATGTATTTCTGCTCCAACACAGCTGAATCAAATGCATGGCTCGTTACCAGGCCTTTGCCAAACTTGATGGCAAAAGTGAATTTCTCCATTGTGAGATCAATAACGTTCTATTTTATTCTACTTAAGAGGTAATTCAGTCATTTGAATTTGCAGTGTTGGAGCAGGGACAATCTGCAGTTCAGTAGAGCTTGAGGTCCAGGTTTGGAGACTCCTATCTTAGGCTTTGTTCTTGATCTTTTCATGACCGTCTGAACAACACAGGTCTGATTTTTTTCAAAGCGACCCAGGCCACTTGGCTATGTGGACCTAAATCCGCTACATATCTGATCTTTTCAAATGCGAGTTGTCTGAACGACCAGGTCATATTTATCCGACCTAGAGGTCATTAATAGTCAACAAAGCTTGCTAGTTGTGACGTCATTGCACCCCCTACTGTGCATGTGGGACATTAAACTTGTATGAATGCAGTTCCGACAGTAGATCACATAAAAGTTAGCCTCGTGAGACCATCCTGATCTCGCAAGCTTTCACTCGCAGATCAGTCTGGAGACTCTCCGTTAAAGAAAATTTGGAGCCGTTCACCAAACAAACGTCCAATCAGCGTTGGCTTTGAGGCGAGTTGAGGTACGATGCAACGAGAAACGCGACAGTTAAGTCTAAAGGACATGGCGGCTTCAGCCGATGAAACTAGCGTTAGCGTGGCCATCGAGTAAGTTTTATCGGAATTAGAGTATTTCTTCACTGAAAGAAGAGCAAAACGCTGCTCTGGAGGCTTTTCTCAGAGGAAAAGATGTTTTTGCTTTTCTCCAGAGTGGTTTCGGCAAGAGTAGCCTGGCTTGTGGTTGTGTTTTCGTCGTCGCTCTGTTACGTCATATGCTTCTTGATCTGATTGGTTTATTTGGCCAGTCTATCACCAACATAGGCCAATCAGCTAACCAGTATTTTCGCCCCTTCCCAAAATTACTTCAACGGAAGGTTTCCAGATGGATATGCAGAGCAAATCCATCTGGCGGAGTCAGGTTACATAAAAGTATCATATATCTGGAAACGTGAAGAACCAGGCAAAGCAGTCGGATTTCACAAAAAAATTGAATTGAGCATTAATGCAGTGTTAACGTAGCCATAGTTGTTGAAGATAACCCACTATCCTCCTTATGTATGAGAAATGACGACAAATCTAATCAAGCAGCTTATTTATTTTTTTTATCCTTAAGATTGGCTTAGTTTATTCACTGTGTTCTCTCACTTTGCAATATACCAATCTCAGAGTTGATACTAAAATGCTTAAAAGTAAATATCCAAAACGATGTGAAATGGAGCATGTATATCTAAGATGTTTTCCTTTCTTATTAGTGTGAAAACACTTGTGTTGTCAGAAGGCGTTGATGTGAGACAGGTGACTGTAGTTAGAAACACAGACAAGGGCAATGAGGTTGCAACCCAGAGAAATTGTTAACCTCTGTAGATGATGAATCTTCTATTCACCAAATCATTATTCGCACAAAAAATGTCAAACCATGTCAGAAAAAGTTCTTGCTTTCTTTCGTGTGCAAAAGCCGTCGACCTTTTGAAAAATATATACACACATCAATAGGGTTTTCAACTTAACGACCAAGCATGAGTGTAAATATATTAAACGTGCAAAGAGGAAATGCAAAATGACTAAAACGGCAAAGAAAAAAACAAAAAAAATTGCTTAAATTGTAGAAAATATTTTCTTCTGCAGGAAAAGAAATGCAACAAAGTTCTTTTTTTTTTAAGTACTTTTTATTCAGGAATAAGTTGGGGAGGGGATCAGTTGCATGTAAAGATTTAACAAACTAAAAATGTAGCTGGGGACTAAATTACATGGTCTTTGCTGATATTAGTTTTATAAATGCCCCACATCTCAATCAATTTTAAAGTGTAAATTATGTGGAGTAGAAGTTTTTCCAAACCCTAAAACTAAGTCTAGCAACAGCCAAGCCCCAGAAACATGGGTTTGGGTTTAACTTTGTCATAAATTAAACTAAATAAAATAAGGCTCTTCCCAAAAGCTACTAAAGTAGCAGAAAATGTTGCCAAGGTTCCTTCAATGGCTTAACATTTATCAAAAAGAGGAGAAACGGATAAAAAAAAACGCTGGGTAATTAGGTCTTTGAAAAATGCAGACCATGTATGACTTCATCAACCTGTTGGCGCATAAACCATCAGGTATCTGCTGGAATGTCTGTAACCCAGATATCCTTAATGGGATCTGTGGGTGGTATTAGTATGAAAAAGTATAAACCAGCCTTTAAGAAGTTTACACAACCACATAAATATGACACCAAAGATTTCCATTGATGTATCCTAGCATTGATGCTATATGTGAGGTCCAGGAAGTTAATTTCAAAGAACTTATCATTTCTGTGGATGGCAAGTAGGAGAACAGATAAAGCCTTTTGACATCTGAGCTTTATCATAAACAAACCTGATGGACAGAGAACTATGTATTTTATTGAGTCATCTTAAATGATGGGCTATTCTGATCTTGGTTTGAATCTGTGTGCAGATCCAGATGACCAGCTGAAGCTAACAGAAGACACCCGGCAGCTTGGGCTGGTGGTCTGCAGAGGAACCTCTGTAGTGCTGATCTGTCCTCAGGATGGCATGGAGGCCATCCCAAACCCGTTCATACAGCAGCAGGATGGCTAGCTCAGACCAGCTACTCGATGCACAATTATAATTTTTTTTATTTTTTTAATCATCACTGTTCTAGTTCATACAAAAAGGCTGTTGACTTAAGTTAAAAATCAGAATAAAAATGTATGTAATGCACTTCACTTCCACTTTTTGTGATGTGCTAATGTTGCACAGCTTTGTTTGTAAAGAGCCCAAAAGTCTGAGGAAGTCAATGGGACAATTTTCCTTTTATTTGTAATATCTTTTTACAAATATTTGTTTTTGATAGAAAATAAAGTGAAAGATGTAACATTTGCTTGGTCACTTTTTTGTTCTGTACTCATTTACTGAAGGAAATATGGCTCAGATGTGAGTGAAGGTTCATTCACATGTTCATAAGGTCAAAATGAAATCTATTTAGAATTTTAAAAAATTAGTGATTATTTTTGCTTTCAGGCTAATCTCTTGCAGCTCATGAGAACACTTAAAATCTATATGCAGCTCCCAGAACGCATCACTTAGGATGCAAACTTTGCATTGGGCTTCAGTGTACCTGGAAACTTTTCTTTTTCTCAATTTTTCCAGACTCTGGACTCTTGATTCTTCAAAAGTAGTTGCTAAATTTCAGCTGAAAAGAGGAATTGAAACTTAAACAAGTCGGTGTAGAAGGAGCAGCAATACAGAAATTACTGGGTAATCATCAACCAATCATTTTCAACCCCTGTTATGTTCTGTGCTGAAGGATGTAGGACAGACTCCAGATGCTACCATTTCCTTTGAAACTTTGCTTTATACTTAATGCTAAAGTTATCCTGTTTTTTTTTTTTTTTATGTACTGTACTTTTTCCTCCCTAACTTTCTTTTTGTGATTTAATACAGCATTCTCTAAGAAACCAGCTTCTTTGGAAATATTTTTTTGGTTTTTTTTTTTGTCTCTCCCTCATTTTGAGGATGTTATTTAACTGTCTTTCAAACATCTGTCACATCAGCAGTGTTCCCCATGAAAGTACAGGCAACAATTTCAAATTTCTCAAAAACGATTTGGAGTTTTATTAGCTGTAAGCAAAATTCACAAAACTGGCAATATATTTTATGCGTACTTTCTTATTTACAAGTTTCACTGTTGAGAGGAGTGACGGAAAGAAATATCCTTATTTGATTTCTCGCATCTGTTGGTTTCCTGAAGCAGTGAGCTGCCAACTGACCACAGAGCTCACCTTCATGCAGTAACAGAAGAATTTAATGACGATCTTTAAAAGGGAGTTTCTGTGTTTGAAGATAAGCCATTGAAGCTTGTCGGCACACAAAGACACATTTGTCGTATTAACCGCTTTAAGACAGAAGCACTCTAAGGGGGGGTTAGGTGGCAAAGCTTGGTTTTGGATTATTGTGAATGATGGAGGAACTGTCCGCTGACTGTGAGATTATGTTTTATTAAAGATAAGGTGTTCTGGGTTTGCATGTGATCAGAACTGAGGAGTGTATTGCAACCTTGAAGAAATTGCTCTGATGGTTCTTCAGAAGCAGGTTTTAAAAAGAAGGTGGGATAGAAAGGACAAATTCCTGCAGGGTTTGCCCCTCCTCTGCTGCTCAGTCACTGTGTCAATAGAGCACCCGCTGCCCTTTAGAGGGAAGCTCGGAGCTCCATTTAATGACAGTTTTTTTTTTTTTTTATTTACTCCTTTTATTACTGTTTGGGTGTAATGGTGGATTAGACTATGCTCTATATTTTCCAGCAAAGTATGGCAGATTACAGGTGACAGGAGAAACACCTGTGTACACCTGGGTGGGACCAACTGGGATCAGGACGGATGGACTGAGAGCTGAGCGGGGATTTCTGAGGCTGAACTTAGCCTTTTGGAGTAAACAGGGTGAGTTTTACTAAGGTATAAGGACGTGACCCGCCCCTGGCTCAGGTGCAACAAAAAGCAGACCCTGTTGGCCCTGTTGTCCCTTGTCCTCCCCCCTGCCCATGTTTCTGCTCCTGTGAGAACTACGGGTCATCTTTGTCTTCGAATTGCAGAGTAATGAAAGAAGAAAGAGGTGAGTGTGGCTGCTGCAGACACAGGTTATTGTTGCACATAGGAACACTCATTCAGTAAGGATAAGGTGTTCTGTTTAGATAAAAATGAATTTAGGAACTTTTCTCCACATCTTGCTTGTTAATCAGTGAACATCATGGTGTCCTTTACATATACCTCAGACCGCACTCCTGCTTTTCAATCAGCTTCTATCCAAATGTACAATAACTGCATTTTAATATTTAAGATTTTCTATTTCTCTAAAAAAAAAGGTCAGGTTCTATATAAAAATCTGACATGTTTACCACCCCAAATCTAATGTTCAGTTCTGTCAAATGCACTATCGATAAAGGATGGGTTGAGTTTCAGTTTTCTTTCCTTCTTTACGAGATAAGCCATTTTAATGCTGGAGGGATTTGAAAATTCTTTGAAAGACAGCAGACTATAAATCAGATCATTGGAACAGCACTTTTATTTGCACATATTGCAAATATGCAATATTGTTTTGCTTAAGTTTTGCACACATTCCTAAAAAAACTGCATGTGCTTTGACTAGGCCATTTTAGCTCTTTAATATGCTCTGATCTGGTCCAGTGTTTCTCAGAAATATTTCTCTGGGTTCACAGTACTTTAAGTTTTGGACACGTGCTTTCTCCAGCACACTTGATTCAAACAAATGCATCCCCTCCTCAGCATGGCATTGAAAAACCTGGTGATCATCTATTTAAGTCAGGTGTGTACCAGGAGCAAAATATCTAAAACATACAAAACTTGCTAAGTACTAAGTTTAGGAATCATTGATCTGCAACTTAAATTTAAAGCAGTTGTCCTGTTGGAAGGTCTTGAGTCTTTTAAATCATCTCACAGGTCGTCCTCCAGGACTACATTGTGTTTAGTGCCCATTTTTGTCTCCATCAACTCTGTTTGGCTAAAAATGTTCCTGCTGAACAATAAAACAACCCCTCCAAACCACCATCACCATGTTTCACTGTGGGATGGTGTGTTCAATGTCCGCATCATGTGATGTAGCATTTAACATATTGCTCAAAATGTTCCTTTCATTTTCCTCTCCACGTTTTGCATATATCTAAATGGCTTAAGCCAAACTGGAAATGGGACTTTCTCTGGCAACTCGGAATTGTACATCAAACAGTTCATTATAATCAACTTCACAATGGGTTAATAAGCTAATCATATTACAATATCTGTAAAATAAAATATGACATAATAAATAGATCAAATCAATAATAAGAGGGTAAGAGGGAAATTTCGAGAAAAACAAGTAAAATCAAGTCTGATTTGTGGTGTGAGCCGATGTGTAAAGATACGATTTTAGACAGGTTTTGAAAATGGACAGTAATGTGGCAGAGTGGTCCATAACTCAGGGGCCCCGATAGAGAAGGCTCTTCCACTTAGAGGTTGGGACAACCAGGAGAAGCTGGTCAGCGGACCTGAGTTGCCGTGGAGGAACATAACTGTGGATGAGCTCTGTTAGGTAAGGGGGAGCAAGGTTGTCTAAAACCTTAAAGAAAGAGAGAAGAGTTTTAAAAAGAAATACACAGGCAGCCATTTAACAGAAGCTAAAATTGGGATGATGTTCTGTCTTCTACATGTACCTGTTAAAGGTCAAGCAGCTGCATTTTGCAACAGCTGCAGACATGCAAGTAGGGACTGGGTGACTCCTAAACAAAGGGAGTTATGACTTTAAGATAAAATTAAATAATTGCGGTCTTGTCCTGTCTACAGATTCTCTGAGTAACGTTGTGGATCATCTAGAGACCATCTAGTCAGTTTTTCTTGTTGAACATATCTAAGCTATGCAGTAGATATTTTCCATCTCAGGTAGTTAGATTTAGAAGTTTTGGTTTATTTCACCAAATCCAAATAAACCCTAAATATAAAAACATGTTAACACTCTATAAAACTCAACATATACTATCACCTTGTATGCAGACGGATAGCATCACCTGCAGTGACATCTGATACCTTCCACTTCTCCACACTCTTTCTCCTATCCAGAACTTAAAACAACGTGAGTTAAGAAATACAATTCAGTTCTGTCATATAATATCTGCTGTTGTTTTAACAGGCCTGGCTCATTCTGTACACCCATCACTGTGAAGACAGTTAAATGTGAGGCTGGTGCCCAGAGTCCAACATGGACGTCAGTAAGGATGGTGGAGGAGGGTCGTGGTCATCCTCACCCTCCAGCACCGGCTGCCATAAAGGCGTAGTCACAATCTGCATCCTCCTTTTCCTCATTATAGGCATCTTTGCCGGCCTTGCTATTGGTGAGTCAATAAAAGAAAAAAAAAAACTCTTAATTCCACAAAGTACATAAAGTTTTTTTTTTATTGTTAATTTGGAACTAGTTATAAAAGATCACCCATTAATAATTTACTTAGAGACTGTATTCAAAACATTGACTAATGATTTCTATTCTAATTTTACTTATTAAACAAAAGATCAGCATGTTGATTCAGTCTTAGTTCTTTTCCAGTTCCTGATGAATTTACCACAATGCAAAGTTTCATGGTCTATTTCTGCTTAATTGCGCTTAACAGATCTCTGTAACATCTCAGATGTTCCTCAGGTATAATTGATGGTGGATTCTATGATAATGAGCTGTTCAGGTTCTGCTGCTGCAAAGCAACGACAAACCATGACAGTTCCAGCTCTATGCTTCACAGTTGGAATGAGGTTATATTTCCTTAAAGCTGTGTTTGTTTTATGCAAAACATTATTTCCGATCCGGTGTCCAGATAATTTGATTAGATGAATCAGTCTTAAAAGAATTATTCCAGCAGTCCTAGTTTTTGTTTTGGCAAATTTCAGTCTGGCCTTCCTGTCTTTCTTGGAGAGCTAAGGTTTCCCCCTTGCACAGGTTCAATGGAAGTTAAAGTTGTGCTTTCTCTTTTTGATGTTAGAGGAATGCAGTTTCATATCAACATGGGTAAAAAACTGCTGTAGGTGTGCTGGTGAAGATTCTCAGTCATCCATGTCATAGTCATTCTGAAAAAGTAAAAAACAAACAACAACAACAATCCACTGGACATTGTTTCCCAGGTCTGGGAAGCTTTCTCAATTCAAAATGTCTGAATTCGCATTGAGTTTGAGGCTTTATATAGACAAGGCCTTGTATTGCTTGGAAACATGCAAATTGAACCTGATTGTTGACTTTGTTGGCAAAGTCTTTGGAGTTTTCTATGACTTTGCCAACAAAGTAAAAAATGTAAGGATGTCGCCAGGAGAAACCCTGGTATCGTTTGATATTACTTCACTTTTCACA